ATCGATCTCACTATTGACCTCACTATCGATCTCACTGTCGATCTCACGCGATTGATCTCACTATCCCCCTCACCATCGATCTCACCATCGATCTCGCTATCGATCTCACAATCGATCTCACTATCCCTCTCACTCTCGATATCACGATCGGTTTCACTATCGATCTCATTGTTGATTTCATTATCGAACTCACCATCGATCTCAATATCGATCTCACTATCGATCTCCCTACCGATCTTACTATCTATTTCGCTATCGATCTCACAATCGATCTCACTATCGGTCTCACTATCGGTCTCACTATCTGTCTTACTATCGGCCTCACTATCGACGTCACTATCGATATCACTCGATCGATACCACTACGGATCTCACTATCGTTCTTACTATCTATCTCAGTATTGATCTCACAGTCGATCTCACCATCCCTCCCACTATCGATTTGAGTATCGATCTCACTATCGATCTCACCACACATCTCACTATTGCTCTCACTACCGATCTCACTATCGATCTCACTATTGATCTCACAGTCGATCTAACCATCGATCTCACGGTCGATCTCACTAACATTTCCACCATCGATCTCTATCGATACCACTACCCGTCTCACTATCGACCTCACTGCGGGACACCGACGGGACGCTGCTGGCACACCGACAGTTCAACGGGCGGGACACCCGCCGGCCACCCCCGGCCACCGGCGGCCAAACAGAGGGGAGACGTTTCTTGGCCCGTCGGCGCCCCTTGGCCAGAGCAGGGCTCGTTTCTGTCGCCCGCCCACGCAGCCTCATCTCGCCTGCACGCACGACACTTACCAGCCTGGAACATCTCCCTATCCCTATGCTGGGCATCTCCTCATCACGATGCCAATCTTAGGGATTTCCTTAATCTTTTGGGGGTGGATCCCTAAGATTGTCATCGCCTTTTGGCGTTTCAATCTTAGGGATAGGGATAAGTTCGAGGCTGGTAAGACACGAACACGAAACTGAAACCAATCTGCTGGTGCGGAGCAGCGACTGGAGACCGCGGGCCACGATCACGGGCCGCGACCCAGCATCACCGAGCGCGCTGCACTGCTCTCGCAAAGGGCCCACGCGCAAGCGTCCGAGAGACAGGCGTCTGCCTCGAGGTCACGGATGGCCGCACGTGCCCCTCGGCGGATCCAGGCCGCTGGCGAGCGAGTAGTTCCTTCTGCGAGTCGTGGAGCGCGCTTGTCTTATGCACCACGACAAGACACAGCTCACGGGTCACCAAGAGCGTGTTTCTTTCTTGCTTGGGGCGTGACGGGCGTCATGGCCCCCGCCGCCCCCTCCCCCCTATGACGCAACGCTCCCCCCCCCGGTGTGTTCCAGGCACTGCCGCCGTGCGCATCGGGATCCGCATTTCGGGCACTGCCGCCGTGCGCATCGGGATCCGCACATGTGTCCGCATAGGAATCCGCATGGGAGTCTGGTCCGCAGTCGTCGTCGTCGTCGTCGTCGTCGTCGTCCTCGTCCTCGTCCTCGTCCTCGTCCTCGTCGCTCGTCGCTCGTCGCTCGTCGCTTGTCGCTCATCGTCGTCGTGCGCGCGGACGCGGCTGGAGCCTGTTTTTTCTATTCCAGGCCGATGACGGCAATAATTTGGGTGGGGGGGGAGGGGGCCGATGACGTCACGTTTTGCGCCGGCGGCGTTTGGGAATGCCTAAGAATGACTGTGGACAAGTAACAGCAGCATGTAAGTCGCGATCTGTAGCACAACGCTTGTGTGCACCACAGTGCCTGCGTGCACCACAGCGCCTGTGTGCACCACATCGCCAATGTACCACAGCAGCCGCGTGCAGCACAGCGCCAGTTTGTGCCACAGCGCCTACCGGCACCACAGCGTTTGTGTATACATTAGAAAACCGTGCACTACAGCGCCTGTTTACACCACGACGCTCGTGTGCACCACAGCATCCGTGTGCAACAGAGCACCCTTGTTGTATATAGGATTGTTGAAGAAATAATTTTTCATGACAAAATGGAACGCCAGTGGATTCCACACAAAACACATGCTTGATATAGGATTTGGGAAAGATAATCTTTATGGAGCAAGAGCGCCGCTGGAATCTGCGAGTCCTCCCGAGCCCGCCGGCATCACCCTAATTTCTCCCATCTGCGTCGAGGAGGCCCCAGCTAAATTTGGCGTCAGGAAACCAATTGGATTGATTCAATATATCATTCTGCGGTGCACGCTCAGATGCGCTCGTGCGTTCTAGCGCCGACCCGCACGACAGGGGGGAAGGGTGAAGGAGGAGGAGGAGGACCAGGAGGAGGAAGAGGAGGAGGAGGAGGAGGAGGGGCAGGAGGAGGAGGAGGAGGGAGGAGGGAGTCACGTCGCATTCTATTATCAACACTTCCGTGGCGTGGCGTTTGGCTGTCCGCAACAGATCCTCTTTTACACTCTCCGTCCTGTCCTATGCATGCAGGCATTGTGGTGTACACCAGCGCTGCGTTGCACGCGGATGCTGCGGTGTAGACAGGCGCTGTGGTGTGCACAGGTGCTGCGGTGCACGCAAGCAGGGTGGTGTACACAGGCGCTGTGTTGCACATGATTGCTGTGGTGTACACATTCGCTGTAATGTACACCGGCGCTGTAGTGCACGCAAGCACTGTGGTGTACACAGGCGCTGCCTTGCGCACGGTTGTTGCGGTTTACGCAGTCACTATGGTGTACACGCGCGCTTTGGTGCACGCGAGCATTGTGGTGTACACATGCTCAGTGGGCCCATCGCCACCTACATGCTGCTGGCGTCGTCGTGGTCGTCGTCGCTCGTCGCTCGTCGCTCGTCGCTCGTCGCTCGTCGCTCGTCGCTCGTCGTGCGCGCGGGCGCGGCTGTGGCCAGCCCTCCGTCCTCGTAGCTGGCGGATCCTTGTGCGCTGCGCTGAGGCGAGAGCGTTTTTGTTTGATCGAAGCGGGAGTTAGTTTATATGGAGGAGAGATGGAGAAGAAGTAGCAGGAGGAGGGTGGAGGAGGGGGAGGAGGCGGGATGTTAATAATGATGATGATGCTGATGATGATGCTGATGCTGATGCTGCTGATGCTGCTGATGCTGATGATGATGATGATACTAATGTTTATGATAATCATGATGATGTTGAGGAGGAGGACGATGATGATACTGTTGTTGATGATGATGAGGAGGATGAGGAGGATGAGGATGATGATGTTGATGAATCTGATGATGGTACCTGTCATGAGGAGGGGGAGTAGTAGGTGGAGGATGAGGATAAGAAGGATGCTGATGATGCTGATGCTGACGACGATGATGATGATAATGATGATGATGAGGAGGAGGAGGAGGAGAAGGCAGAGGCGGCAGGAGGAGGAGTAGCAGGAGGAGGAGGAGAAAGAGGAAGATGTTGATGATGATGATGATGATGATGATGATGATGGTGGTGGATCTGATGATGATGATGATGATGACGATAATGTTGATGATGCTGATAATGACGATAGCGATGACGATGCTGATGATGATGCTGCTGCTGCTGATGATTATGATGATGCTGACGATGAGGATGAGGATGTCAATGATGATGCTGATGATGCTACTGTTGTTGATGATGATGATGATGATGATGATGATGATGATGGTGACGATGCTGGTGATGCTGCTAATGCTGTTGCTGCTGCTGATGTTTGCGTTGCTGATGACACCGATACTGATGATGATGTTGTTGATGATGATGATGATCCTGATGATATTGTTGATGATGATAATTGTTGCTGCTGCTGATGCTGATGATGATGCTGTTGCCGTTGCTGGTGCTGGTGATGAAGATGATGAATATGATGATGCTGATTCTGCTGTCGAGGATCATGATGGTGCTGATGATGCTGAAAACGATGCTGATAATGATGATGATGACGACGATGATGATGGCTGCTGCTGATGATGATGCTGATGATGATGGCTGTTGCTGCTGCTGCTGATGATGACCACTATGCTAATGATGACTGCTTCTGCTGCTGCCGCTGCTGCTCATGATGCTGCTGATGCTGATGATGATGATGATGTTGATGATGATGATGATGATGATGATGATGATGATGATGATGATGATGATAACGACGAATATAATGATGCTGATGATGATGTTGATGGTGATGCTGATGATGATGTTGATGATGATGGTGATGATGAGGATGACGATGCTCATGTTAAATCATGTTGGTGACGATGCTGATGCTGATTCTACTGCTGATGATGATGATTTGCTGCTGCTGATGATGACGATGATGACGATGACGTTGATGCCGATGCCGATGAGGATGTTGCTGACGATGACGATGATGATGATGGTGATGTCGACGCCGGTGATGATGATGATGCTGATGATGATGATGATGCCGATTCTGATCCTGATGATGAGGACGTTGATGGTGATGCTGGTGCTGATGCTGATGATGATGGTGATGATGATGCTGTTGCTGATGATGACTATGATGATGATGATGATGATGATGATGATGATGATGATGATGATGATGATACTGATACTGATGATGATGACGATGATGATGATGATGCTGATGAGGATAATGATGATGCTAATGATGATGATGGTGCTGATGATGATGATGGTGATGATGATCATGATCATCATGATGATGATGCTGATGCTGATGCTGATGCTGATGCTGCTGACGATGATGATGATGCTGATGATGACGATGATGATGATGATGATGATGATGATGATGATGATGATGATGATGATGCTGATGCTGATGATGATGATGATGATGATGATGATGATGATGATGATGATGATGATGATGATGATGATGATTGTTATTATTACTATGAGTATGCTTATGATGATGGTGAGGAGGAGGCGGAGGAGGAGCGGGAGGCGGAGTGAGGCGGAGGCGGGAGGAGGAGGAGCAGGAGGATAGGGAGGAGGAGGAGGAGGAGGAGGAGGAGGAGGAGGAGGAGGAGGATTCGTCACTTTTCACTTCCGGCCGTGTGGTAGGTCGAGTGCCACGGCTTCCTCTTCGGGGTGCCCGGCTTGGGCCTGGTCCCTCCGACGGGCCTGGATGGGGCGGCCGCGGGCGCGGTCGTTTGCTGAGTCCTGCCTGGCAGCCGCCGACTGCAGAGGAGGCGCCCTGTACTGCCCTCCCTGCTTTCGGGGCTGGGCGGTGGCGAAGACATGCTCGCGTGATGATGTTCCAACTTACTTTTAGCCTTGGCTATCAGAAATAGTTTCGAGCACCAGCGAAGTATCGAAACTGGACAGTTTTCACGTGTCGGGCCCTGGGAGGCGATACTCGTTCGGCACCTCGTCAGCGTGACGGGCAGAAACTGTTTCGGTACTTGTCGGTGTGTTCGAAGTTATTCCTGGGATGTGGTTCTGAAGAGCGATGGGAATAACAGGGTTCTCGCGTCTCTCAGAGTCCCGAGCCATCAGGGCTGGGGTGGTCAGGGCCAGTTCCTGATTCGTGCATCGGGGCTCCCAAACTGGAGTTGCCCAGTTCTCCTGGATAATTCAGGAGAGGAGAAAACACAGACACAATTAGTCGTCGACTCCCAGGAAAATACAGGAACATATGGGAAGTGGGGGGGAAGACGAAAAAACCCCAGAAAATAAGGGGAAATAGGGGGAATCTTTTTAGTTGTGTGTATTTGTTTGTGTGTCCCAGGGCCCCTTCGATAGCGCGAGCGTCCAGCTGCTCCCGGAAATCATTGGTGCGGGGGGCTGCCAGGGACAGCTTCTGGTCCGTGCGTCGGGGGCCCACGCTGCCCTTCGATTGCTCGGGCTGGGGGTCTCCCCCAGATCATTCGGGCGGCCAGGTCTTGGACACCAGAAATCGCAGCGCGAGGTGTTTGACTGGAGGCCTCCCAGATACTTCGGGCGGCCGAGTCTTGGGCAACAGAAATCGAAGCGCGAGGTTTTGGGGGCGTTTCCCGCCCTCGGGGGAAGGTTTTTCGCCGCTTTCATCCCCTGGTGGCCCTTGCCGGGCCTCGGGGCCGTCGAAGACCGACCTGGGACGAAGAGCCGGCCCTGGGGAAGAAGAGTCGGGACTTCCGGGAACCCCGTGCTGTCTGGGAAGGTGCGGGACGGGTGCCGTTATTGCTACCTTCGGCTCGTGTTCGCCTTCTCTGGGCTTCCTGGGAGGCCTCCGTCGCCACGACTAGCTTCGCCTCGAAAGTCTGGTCAGAACGCACCCCAGGAGAGGCCAGGGTAGTAGCGGCTTACGGCTTCCCCGAAGATTCGGCGGCGCGCAGGAGGGGGAAGGCTTCCTCGAAGGAGGTTGCTTCTCAGAAGCCGCGGGCCTTACATTTACAGACCAGGCCCGCGGGCTTCTAGGAAGCAGGGGTGCTCCTAAGAAGCCTTCCCCCCTCCCCCTACCCGCCTCTGCGCGGCGCCAAAGGATGGGGCCTGGAGGGGTGGTGCCCTGAGGGTAGCGGAAGGCGCCCCGGGTTGAATGCGCATCGCTCAGGGCATCTCGCCCCAGGGCCCCGCGTCTCGGGGCTCCGTCTCTGAGCTGCCGGAGGAGGAGGATGAGGAGGAGGAGGAGGAGGAGGAGAATGAGGAGGAGGAGGAGGAGGAGGAGGAGGAGGAGGAGGAGGAGGAGGAGGGGGAGGGGGAGGAGGAATGAATGTGGCAGGAGGGGCTCAGCTCAGGAGCGAAGCAAGGACGCACGTGCACGAATTCCCATGCGAAGCAACAACTCGGATTCACAAGGATGAAGTTCAGTTAGACTCCCGGCGCCCCCTTTCTCTCTTCTCAGCTGCGCGCGCGCCGCATGCCTGCTGCCGTCTTGGGCTCAGGGGTGGGCCAATAAAAGGATGGAAAGGGAGCGGGAGCTATCAGGTTTTCGAGGGTATACACTGCGCGAGCGTGCGTGACACGAGGCTGGCCTCGGGGACGGGTGGCACTATTCACGCATGTGGCTGGACGCGCACGTCTTTTGTGGGCTCCCCACAAGCAATGCCTTGCTCCGTTGGAAGCTCGCGGCCAGTTGTCGGCCGCGGCATCTGGAGTCAGGATCTCCGCAGTTCGCACCTATCTTTTTGTATTATATGTGAATGCACATATTTATAGACACATTTTTTCTCTAAAAATATGTATATGTCTATGGGTGCAGTTCCATTTTTATGTGTGTCTTTACCTAGTTGTGCATGTCTACGTGCATGCATATGTGTACGGGTATGTATGTATATACGTATATATGTAGGCATCTGTTTATGTACACTTATACATATTCGTATATAGGTATGTGTATGTACATGTGTAGGTATGTACGTTCGTAGTTGCAAATGTATATGCAGGTGTATGTATACTTATATGCACATGAATACGTATATGCACATGCATACGTACAATTATATACATGTTTCATGTATGTATGCACGCATGCATGCATGTATGACTGCATGCACGCATGTATGTATGTGTGCATGTATGTATGTATGTATGTATGTATGTATGTATGTATGTATGTATGTATGTATGTATGTATGTATGTATGTATGTATGTGTGCACGTATGTATGCATGTATGTATGTATGTATGTATGTATGTATGTATGCATGCATGCATGCATGCATGTATGTATGTATGTATGTATGTATGTATGTATGTATGTATGTATGTATGTTTGTATGTTTGTATGCATACATCTATGTATGTATGCATGCACGCATGTATGTATGTATGTATGTATGTATGTATGTATGTATGATTTTTTTCGTGCATTCATGTGTGTATGTATGTACGTATGCATGTATGTATGTATGTATGTATGCACTTGGGGCCCCCTTGGGGCCTGCTTAGTGTCTCCTGGAGGCTTCTTGGGGCGGAATATTAGGGTTTTCGGTTCGTACTGCCCCTCTCGGGCCTTTCCTGGGGCTGACTCTGGGCCCTCTTAGGCCGTCTTGGGCGCTTCTGGGGCCGTCTTGGAGCCCTCTTGGGCGACTCTTGGGCCGTGTTGGGGCCCTCCTGGGGGCCTCTTGGGCCGTCTAGGGGCGGTCCTGAACGGCCTCTTGGGCCGTCTTGGAGCGTCGGGAGCTAGAAAAGTCGAGGATCACAACATCATCGAACAACCATTTGGATAGTCAATGATTTTGGTCTCTCGGGGCCAGCTTGGGAAGGCTCTCGGAGCTCTCTTGAGGCGTCTCGGAGGCCTCTTGGGCCGTCTTGGGACCATCTTGGGCGTCTTGGTGCGACCTTTGGGTGCTCGTGGCCCTCTTGGACCGTCTTGGAGGCCTCTGGGGGCTCTCTTGGCCCGTCTGGGGGCCCTCTTGGGCCCGAGCAAATCACGCGGGGAGATGCGGGAAGCTTCCGGCAAGCCGCGGCAAGCCCTGGAGATGTGGCAATTTGGGGTCCGGGCCCCTCAAGGACTCCCCCAGGAGTGAGGATTGGGGCTTATGGGATGAGGCAATGGGCCTGAAGACACGCCCACTCCGTGCCCGGCGGCACGGTGGCGGATATATCACATGCACACACACACACGCACGCACGCACATGCACACACACTGAGACACACACACACAGCACGCACCAACCAACACACAACACACAACACACACAGCACAGCACACAACACACAACACACAACACACGACACACAACACACAGCACACAGCACACAACTGACAACACACAGCACACACCACACAACACAACACACAACACACGACACACATCACAGAACACACAGCAGACAATACACAACACACAGCACACATCACATAACACACAACACACAACAATCAGCACACAGCACGTAGCACACAACACATACCACACAACACACAACACATCACACACAGCACACACCACACAACACACACACACCACACAACACAACACACAACATACAGCACACAATCCACAATCCACACCACACACCACACGCGACACGCCACACACAGGCAGCACACACCACACAACACACAACAAAACACACAGCACACAACCCACAACCCACAGCACGCGCCACACACCACACATCACATAATTCATTCAACGCACAACACACAACACACAACACACAACACACAACACACAAGACACAGCACAGACAACAACACAACACACATCACACAGCACACAGCACACATGGCACAACACACAGCACACAGCACACAGCACACGGCACACATGACACAACACACAGCACACAGCACACAACACACAACACACACCACAACGCACAACACACGACACACATCACACAACACAGCACGCAACACACAACACACAGCACACAGCACACGGCACACAACACACAACACACGACACACATCACATAACACACAGCAGCAGACAATACACAGCGCACACCACACAACACACAACACACATCACACACCACACACCACACACCACACAACACACAACCCACAACCCACAACCCACAACCCACGGCACACACCACACACCACACACCATACACCACACAACACATCTCACAACACACAGCACACAACACACGACACACAACACACAACGCACACGACACAACACACAACACGCGACACAAGACAACACAACACACAACACGCACCACAGCACCCAACACACATCACACAACACACACCACACACCACACAACACACACCATACATCACACACAACCCACAACACACAATCCACAACACACACAATTCACACACCATACTCAACCCACAGCGCGCAACACAGCACTCACCACACAGCACACAACACAGCCCACACAACATATACCACAGAACACACACCAAACAACATACAGCACACAACACGCAGCACACACCACATAACAAAATACACACCACACAACACACAACACACAACACACAGGACACACCACACACCACACAGCACACACCACACAGCACTCAGCACACACCACACATACCACACCGCACACCACACAATACACAACACACAACACACAGCACACACCACACAACGCACACCACACAACACACAACACACACCGCACACCACACAACGCACAACACACAGCACACAACACACAACACACACAGAACACAACGCACACCACACAACACACAACACAGCACCGCCCACACAGCACATAACACACCACACAAAGCACACCACAGCACACAGCACAC